AGCGGTGGGATTTCTGCTGTTCAACGCAGGGAGAGGCTGGGTGAGCCGTGAGTGGCTCCGGGCCTGCAGCTGGTCCCACGTTTCCAGCACGAGGCACTATTAAATGAGACGAGCCAAGATACAACCCCGAGAGGGCACCATGTCCAACACCGAAGCACCGTGCAGACTCACGCAGCCTGGACCTGCCTGGGGCTCTGCCCTGACCTACTGCAACCAAACATGTTTTTTTGGTTTTTGGGGTTTTTTTAAGTTTTATTTTTCCAATCACCATGAAAACACAACTGCGGGCTGTGGGGTGCTGTCCCAGTGTCAGCCTCGCTTAGGAGGAGAGCAAAGCCAGCTCAGAGCCCTGTGCAAGATGGCTGCCCAGCTCTCATGCCTGTGGCTGTTCCTCTGGGACCGGCTTTCCCCCATCCCGCGCAAGGTGATGCCCTCAGCCCGGGGGATCTGCTCCCCCGGGGCTCGGCCTCCGCAGAGCCCCCCCGGCTGGGAGCGGAGACCTGCAGCGGGGTGGCTTGCCGAGGGCTGGCCCCCTTCGGAGCAGGGTGGATCGAGGCTGGGATTTTGGGTGAGCCGGCATCCCCGCGTCGGAGGTCTGTCACAGCAGGCTGGTGGGAGCGTGGGGTTTGTCCCCCATCCTGGACCTCCTGGGAGCAAGGCTGGCGTGCAGGTGGGGGCTCCGGAGATGTGTCTGCCTTCAGCTGGACCTCCATGCAGCCGGGCTCACGGGAGAGTGGCACCGTGGCCATGACTCCTGCTCCGGGGCCAGGCGGCTCCTCCAGCAGTGCCCCGGGAGAGGCCCCAGCAGGCTGGATGCCCTTGCTGGATGCCCGACTGCTCCTTCGGGAAGGCTCCTTGGCCGTTTGTGCATCCGACGGAGGCTCTTGGGGCTGTGTGAGGGAGATGTGTGCTATGCTCGTGGTGCAAAGATGGGGACGGAGGGCAGCGGGAGAAGTGGGGGGGCGAATGAACCGGACAGAAACGCTGGGGCAGGTGGGTCTGGGCCAGCCCTCGCTGCCGTGGAGGGGCTCGGTGCAGGGCTGGGCTCTGTGCTGGGCTCACCACAGCACTTGGGGCAGGGGCTGCTCTGCCTGGGGACGAGGCACCGTTGCAGCAGTCCCCAGGGAGAAGCAGAGAGGGGTGCTGGGGGCTCTGGGAACCTTTCCACATCAGGGCAGCCCCTGTTCTTGGATGCTTTTCTCGGGGAGGAGAACGGCAGCTTGTGAGCTCCTCCTGCCGGCACAGCAGCGGCCACGGTGGCCCGGGCACCCAGCCAGCAGCGGGGAGACAAGCCCGGATTTGGGGGTGAAGCCGAGGGAGCCTCATCCCGAGAGCAGGGGGGGAGATAGTGGCCCAAGCACTGCGTGCTGCCAGGCCGAGTGCACCCGGTCGGATCTACCAGCAGGTGCAAACTGGGGATGTGTGAGGAACGAGTCTGAAACATCCCGTGGGAGAGAGGGAAGGGCCACAGGGAGCAGCAACTTCCCCCGTGCGGCTCCATCTCTGCTGCCTTCTCCCCTCTCCTGCCCTTCCCTGGCCTGGCGCAGGCCTGGGGTGCTACAAAATGCCCCTGAAATCTGCTCGTGGGCTGGGGTGCCGTCCCTGGACCCCCAGAGAGGGGCACCTACCCTCCCGGTGATCTCTGTCCGGAGGCCGTTGCAGGCGTGGGTCAGGGCGGTGGGTTGGTGGATCCAGTCAATGAGCTGCGCGGCGGCAGCGTCCGAGCGGGAGGTCAGGTCCAGCCTGGCCGGGGGAATCCTCGGTGGCATCTCCCAGGTCCCCACAAACCTGCCCCATGGGGACACCTGGAAGAGGGGGACCGGGACCTGTCGAGGGCCTTCCAGCCCCAGGGAGCCCCAGTGCCGGCCGAGGGGGAGGAGCGGGCACCTCCAGCCCCGCCACGGGTGCCCGCGGATCTGGCTCACCTGGGAGCGGGGCAGAG